GACACATGCATCTTCCAATGTAAGAGATAGTTTCTTGGCGTAAAAAAATCGATAATTTTAAAAAAATCAATAATCGATAAAGACGATCAAAAATTGATAGATTCAAATTTTTCCTCTGATTTCGTTCAATCTCGGTATGTAGGTTACTTACATAATGACGAGCTCAACGATACCTCATTTTTATTTCTATGCCACTGCGTTTAGCGAAAAACCGTGAAAAATCGATTTCAACACAAATCGATTTCAACAGAAATTTTGAACTAAAACTCCCTCAATTTTCAAGCAATCTAATACAAACTTCACTCAATTTTAGCCAACAATAAGTTGATTGCTTAACAGTTATTTAACTTGATAATTAAGTCCACCCATATTGTGAAAACCCGCGTAAATTGCGAAAAATGGCGATTTTTACTGGTTTCTTATTTTTCGTTGACCTTTCAACCAATTTTCATCAAACTTAACAATTGCTTCATAAATGTATCCTCTTTTACATCCCTGGTAGCACACTGACAAATTGAATTTCAAAAAAATAATTGTGGTCTGAAGTGGGTCTTCATGTTGCCTGTTTTACCCCTTCATGTCTTCGGCTAACTTCGATTGAATAAATACCGACTACTTCTGTTATATCAGTAACTTCATTAATTCAAATTTTTTTTTAATGAAAGTACTTTAAAATAATTGAAGAAAATAGACTCTGTTACATCTAAACATGATGCTGTTTTTGCTCCATTCTAATTGAACGCATTTTCTGAACGACCAGCTGGGGATGGCTGCTAGTTTTCTGTCCAAATACTTTTCAAGGATTTAGTCTGAATGATATCGAAATGTGGAGGCAAATTGTTTCGAGTGTTTATTTTCAGTTTGTTTACCAGCTTCTGATCTCCGGTAATGCGTACCAGATGATTTTGGAACGTTTCAATTTGAGCTGAAATTTTATGTTACAATCTAACCATTTAAAACAACTGGGAGAATATATATATATAAGCTTCTTTTTAGTCTGCATTGGTACTGTTGTTGATTTTAGCATACCTTATATATTTATGTCTGTGTCACACGATCTAAACCCTATAAAAAACCTGAAAGAATGTATATAAGATATAGTTTCGTTTTTGCGTGGATTAGTACTCACGTTGATTTTAGCATACCTTATCTTTTTAAGCCCATGTCATACGATCTAAACCATATAAAATAACTAGAAGAATGTATAAAAGATATATGTTCGTTTTAGTGTGGATTGGTACCCTTGTTGATTTTAACATACCTTATATTTTTTATGTTCGTGTCACACGATGTAAAACCTATAAAACAGCTGGAAGAATGTATATATGTTCGTTTTAGTGTGGATTGATACACTTGTTGATTTTAGCATACCTTATGCTTATCAAAAGCAACCTACTCAATTTATTGTCTTTTTTTTTTACTTATTTATTAACTCAGTAGTCATTAGGTCAAAATCAGCAAAATAAAAAAAAATATAAATAAAAAATTATAAGAAGGCACATCGGTATCTTGCAGAAAAAAGGCATAATAGAAAATATTGAATTAGAAAAGCGTTTTATACAATGAAAGAAAAAAAAAGCAACACGTTGGACTCATTCACTCTCCTTCGTGAAAAAAAAATCTCAGGTGATGATAGCGAAATTGAATTTTTAATTTTTGTTTGAATCATTTCACTCTAAGCAAGGTAATAAAGCCACTAAGCCGTAAAGTGATACTGAGTGTGAGAGATTATGAGAAAGAGAGAACAATAAAAGAACAATAATTAAGAAGACAGTAGACAACGATTGACATTGCATCTAAAACTCGAGGAATCGATATAAGATTTATATATCTTTGTTTTAGTGTAGTTAGGTACTTTCGTTGATTTCAACATACCTTATAATCCAATTTTTATTCGCTGCTATATTTGTATAGTGTATTCTTACATATTTATTAACTCAGCATCTATTAAGCCAAAATCGGCACCACAATATGGTCTTGGAATCAACTGCTGCAAAAAATGACAGTGTTGGACTAAGTTACTCGTCGCTGTGAAAAAGAATATTTTTGTATCTTCAGAAATGGTTGAATTTTTAATGGACATCCTTTAGTGGGTTTATATTGGCTTTTAGTTAAATATTTCTCAAAACTCATATCATCAATTGAATTTACTATTTGAAATACCCGTATTAAATCAAGTGTAAGACGTTTAGTGTCAAACAAGAAATGGCCAGGGATCTTATGCCAATATTTCCCGGGCTAAAACATATTTTTTACTTTTGGTAAAGAGTTTTTACATTTTTTTTCCAGCTGTTATATATCACACTGAGCATCAAGCGACCCGACAATGAAAGTATAGCCCCAAAATAGGATGTCTCTTCGTTTTAGTGTGTATTGATACACTTGTTGATTTTAGCATACCTTATATTTACCAAAAGCAGCTCACCCAATTTATTCCGTGTTTATTTTCATTTTTACTTATTTATTAACCCGGTCAAAATCGGAAAAAATGTAAGGTGAAAAATATAAGTAACATTAATATCATGCAGGAATAATGGAAAAGCGTTTAATATAGTGAAAGAGGCACATTATACACAAGTAAAATTAACGTCTGCCAATATATTACAAATGTATCTTGATCTCCTTTTTGAAGACGTCTATCGTTTTGGAAGTAACTGTGGAAAAAATCGACAACGTTGGACTTACTCACTCGCCGCTGTGAAAAAGAATATTTTTGTATCTTCAGAAATGGTTGAATTTTTAATGGACGTCCTTTAGTGGGTTTATATTGGCTTTTAGTTAAATATTTCTGAAAACTCATGTCATCAATTGAATTTACCATTTAAGATACCCGTATTAAATCAACTCTAAGATGTTCAGTGTGCCAAAAACTGCAGGAATCATTTTGGTAAAGCGTTTTTACTATTTCTTTTCGTTGTATGTCACATTTTTAACCACTGAATTGTGTTTTACCCCTACCGTTGTTTGGTTTTTCCTCGATTTCCTTTTCCAGGCCACCATACAATCAAGACAAGTCCTGCACTAAATCTTCAAATAGTTTCAAAGACTTGCCATGGATGATATTAAAAAGCGGGAAAGAAAATTGTTTACATTCTTAACAGGGCTTCTTTTCAATTTGTCTATCGGTTTATGATCTCTGATGATGTCCATCGTATTGGAATATTTCATTTTTGAACCAAAAGTTCTTGAGCCCATTTCACAAAATCTGAACTATTTAAAACAACTGAAGAATGCATATATCATCGTTTTTACTGTGGATTGTTACTCATGTTGATTTTAGCATATCTTACGTATATAAGTCCATGTCAGACGATCTAAACTATTTAAAACAACTGTAAGAATGTATATAAGATATAGAATCGTTTTAGTGTGGATTAGTACTCTTGTTGATTTTAGCATACCTTATCTTTTTAAGTCAATGGCCCACAATCTAAACCATTTAAAACAACTGGAAGAATGTATATAAGATATAGCTTCGTTTTAATGTGGATCGGTACTCTTGTTGATTTTAGCATACCTTATGTTTTTAAGTCCATGTCATACAATCTAAATTATTTAAAACAACTGTAAGAATGTATATAAGATATAGCTTCGTTTTAGTGTGGATTGGTACTCTTGTTGATTTTAGCATACCTTATGCTTCTAACTGCATGTCACATAATCTAAACCATTTAAAACAACTGGAAGAATGTATATAACTTTTTTTTAGTGTGGATTGATACTCTTGTTGGTTTTAGCATACCTAAAGATTTTAAGTTTATGCCACAAACTAAATCATATAAAACAACTGGAAGAATGTATATTAAGATATAATTTCTTTTTAGTGTGGATTGGTATTCTTGTTGATTTTAGCATACCTTATGCTTTTAAGTCTATGTCACATAATCTAAATCATTTAAAAAAAAAAACTGTAAGAATGTATATAAGACATAGCTTCGTTTTAATGTGGATTGGTACTCTTGTTGATTTTAGCATACCTTATGTTTTTAAGTCCATGTCAAATATTATCTAAATCATTTAAAAAAACTGTAAGAATGTATATAAGATATAGTTTCGTTCTAATGTGGATTGGTACTCTTGTTGATTTTAGCATACCTTATGTTTTTAAGTCCATGTCACATATTCTAAATTATTTAATAAAACTGTAAGAATGTATATAAGATATAGCTGACTTTTAGTGTAGATTGGTACTCTTGTTGATTTTAGCATACCTAAAGTTTTTAAGTTTATGTCACAAAGTAAATCATGTAAAACAATTGGAAGAATGTATATAAAATATAGTTTCTTTTTAGTGAGAATTGGTACTCTTGTTGATTTCCGCATACCTTATGTTTTTAAGTCCATTTCACACAATCAAAACAATATAAAACACCTGGAAGAATGTATATAAGATATAGCTTATTTTTAATGTGGACTGATAGTCTTGTTGATTTCAGCATACCTTATGTTTATAGGTCTACGTCACAGAATGAAAACCATTTAAAACACCTGGAATAATGTATATAAGATGTAGCGTCTTTTGTGTGGATTGGTACGCTTGTTGATTTTAACATACCTTATGCCTTTAAGTCTGTCACACTATCTAAACCATATAAAACAGCTGAAAGGTGGATTCATATCTAATCAGAATTTGACAAAGAACAAATTATAATGCGGACATATAAAGTGGGGGATCAATTCTATATAACAGTCACTAAATAAACTGATCCCTCACTTTGTGACCACAGTAGTTTCTATACATTTCTATTCCAGAGAATGTAAATAACCCTAAAAGACATGCCTGTGTAGCTAATCATTATTTCATTGATTGATTCGTTTCCAGGTTATTTAAAGCCAGAAAATATTTTTAGATCGTAAGAATTTTTAATTAACCCATAGCTTGGGGGCGAAGAGGCGGTATTTGCGCGTAAGTGAATATAACGAACCCAACTAAAATTGCCACTCTGTTATCGGATTAACAATTCTAAGCCCTTACCCATTACACCACCCGCACATTCAAGCTTACAACACCTGGTATTCTCCAGCTGTCACCTACATAGGTACTGACCAGGCTCGACGTTGCTTAACTTCGGTGATCGAACGGGAATCGGAGTTTCAACGTGATGTGGCCATAGGGCCTTGAGAGTTTTTGAATCCATGTCACACAATCTAAAACTCATAAAACAGTTAGAAGAATATATATATATATATATATATATATATATATATATATATATATATATATATATATATATATATATATATATATTTTCCTAATTTTGTTTTAGTATGGATTGTTGCTCATGTTGATTACAGTACATAGAAAGTTGTGGAGAGTCACGATCTCCTATCTCCACGTGGCTGTCTATATCTCTGAGATGATGTATTATAATTATTTGCATCATTCGGAGTGTTATCCTCATCTTCATTGCCATATTCACAACGTTTTGGCCTCTATATCTCTGAGATGAGGCATTATGATTACTTGCATTGTTTACATTATTCCGACTGTTATCCTCATCTTCATTGCCATATTTACAACGTTTCGGCCTCTATATCTCTGAGATGAGGTATTATGATTACTTGCATTATTTACATTATTCGGATTGTTATCCTCATCTTCATTGCCATATTCGCAATGTTTCAGCTGTTGTACGATCCGGCCTTCTTCACGTGATTGGAATTTCGAACCGAACCCTTTATTTCATACACTGGGGTAGATTGTTCTAGTTCCACGTGCTATGCCGGGTGTCTCAGTTATTTCCGTTTTTACTCAACTCTTTAAGATTTTCGTTCAGTACTGCGGTGGCCTCAAAACTCTTTGGGTCTAGTCACTAGATCTAACCAACGTTGGTATCCACTGTGCTATGTGTCCTTGAGGACGTCTATGTATGAATTTTTGTTATTATTATTGCGTTTTTTACCAGAGCTTATATTGTATTTTTTGTTATTGCTTTTCTCTGGCACTCCTTATTACTGGTTCTCATATTGTATTCATTTCTATGATTGGTCGGCTCAGGAAATTTTTGTGGCTTAACATATGTGCTGATTCTTTAAGTTTTCCTATTTTCCAGTGATACTGTCTATTATTTCAATATCATCCCACAGGGGGCGGGAATCACACTTTTCCCTCCATATGGGGTCAGCTACGCACGATTTTTCTATTTCCCCCCGTGATACCGCTTTACGATGTTCTAGTAGTCTTACCTTAAGGGGGCGACCTGTTTCTCCTTTGTATTTCTCATCCCAGGTAACGTAACTGTATATCAGTCTGTTCATATATATATATATATATATATATATATATATATATATATATATATATATATATATATATATATATGCACATTTCATTGAATATGACAGACGAGGTGCTTTTGATTTAGTTTTTTATACAATTTCTCATGTGATCGAATATTTTTTTTCTTTTCAGATGATAAATTATATAAAAACTGTCCGAATGTTCTTTTTTTCCCGAGCGCTTTCGGCTATACATTTAGCCATTTTCAAGGATGAAATATTTTAACTGTTAAATAAGAAATAGTTTGTTGCATGTATGTATTTATATAATGTTTTCATTTTTCAAAACACGGTCAAGATATTATGTCCATGTTCATAGTTGATATTATTAAGTGTCGTTTTTTATTATTAATAAGGCTTCCATTATTTTTAGCCTTTTTTACATGTAGATGATGCTATTATATTAGTGTTGTCAACAAGTATGTTGCGAATAGTGTCCGGTAGGTCTCCATGAATATTTAAATGAGATCTAATTGAGCTATGGTCAGAAAGGTGTAGTGATTCTGTGTGTCAAACATGTTGTAGTGTGGCCTATATAATTATTTACGAATTTTGATTGATCAGGAATACAATTCCTTAATGTTGTACTATGGTCTATATAATTCTTTACGAATCTTGATATATATATATATATATATATATTGAACAATAAAAAATTAAAATCTCCAGACACACTGGGTTGTATATTAATATTCTTTCGTTTTTATTATTATTTCATTTAGATTCCTCGACTAGTTTCACATCTAAGCTACGCTTGGGAAATTATTTGGAGCACCTCGAGGTAGTGTAATCTCGCTAGAACAATTACGACTGACTAGTGAGTTCGATCCTCACTGGGTGCCCCATTCTTTCTATCTAGTGTTACATCTAAGCTACGCTTGGAAAATCATTTGGGGCACCTCGAGGCGGTGTAATGGTTAGCAAGCTTGTCTCGCTAGAACAATTACGACTGACTAGTGAGGTCGAACCTCACTAGGTGTCTCATTTTTTCTGCCTAGTGCTACATCTAAGCTACGCTTGAAAAATCACTTGGGGATCCTCGACGTGATGTAATGTTTAACAAGCTTGTCTTGCTAGATCAATTACGACTGGATAATGAGTTTAGTTATCACTGAGTGCTCTACACTTTCGGCCTTGTGTCAAATCTCAGCTACGCTTAGAAAATCATTTCCAGGCATTTCCTTGGGCGCCCCATAATTTCGGCCTTGTGCCACATCTAAGCTACATTTAGAGAATCACCATATAAATTGTGACTTACGAATCGGCGCGTGTGTGTCTGTGTGTAAGTTTTGCTTTGCTTAAAGTGTGCCTCTTGAAGTACTCAAAGACATTTAACGAGTATCGATTTTTGGTTTTTCATATTTTCGCAATGGAACCCGTTTCGCTGCCATTGGCGCGCCTCAGCACGAGAAATGTACAGTGTGGGTGCTGTTGGCTGGCTGGTGAGAATGACGCAGGTTCCGGGGTTGGCGATGTGTTTTATACGTGAGTATGCGCATCTGCGAGCGTGCGTGCGCGCGAAGAACGTCTATTGAAGCGAGCAAAAAGATTGTCTTTGAGCTGAGTCTAAACTCTCACAGGCAAATTGTACGCGTCTGTCTGCATCACCGGAAACGCAGCTATGTGACCTCTGATACATGTTGGGGCGTGGCCATGTACTTCCGCGGGCGTCCACATGCATTAATCCGTGAATCTTGTTACACATTATGTTGCCTTATGAAATTTAATTCAGTAAATAATACATAAGTTTGGTGGAACAGAATCTTCCTTGCATTGGAAATTATTTTACTGAAGGAAATTATTTTATTAAAAGAAAGTAAAGGAAATTATTTTATTATAGGAAAATTGATTAAATTACTTTATTATTGGCAAAAAAATTATTTTACTATATAAAAGTTGAGGAAATTAATTTACCATAGGATATTAAAGGAAATTATTTCGCTATAGGAAAGTAAAGGAAATTATTTTACGATGGGAATATAAAGAAAATTGCGATGAGGACATTATGGAAATTCATAAGAAAAATCAATTATGTTGCTATAGGAAAATTGAGGCAATTATTCCATTATAGGAAAGTAAGGGAAATTATTTTACCATAATAAAGTGGAGGCAATTAATTTACTATAGGATTCCTGAAAAAAATTTTTTCCATATGAAAGTGTAGGCAATGTTTTTACTATAGTAATGTAGACGAAATTATTTTACCATCATAAAGTTGAGTTACTTATTTTGCTATGGAAATTTATAGGAAATTATTTTATTATTGTAAAATGCAGATAATCATTTGATTTTAGGAAAGTTGAGGCATTTAATTTACTATATAAGGTAAAGTAAATTATTTTATTATAGGAAAGTAGTGGTAAGTATTTTACTATAGGAAAGTATGGTCAATTTACAATAAGAAATTGGAGGAAATTATTTTACTATAGGAAATTAAAATAAATTATTTTGCTATCGAAAACGTGAGTAAATTATTTTACTGTAGTAACATATGCGCAATTTTTTTACTATAGGAAAGTAGAGGAAAATATTTTACTATAAAAAAGCATAAAAAATATTTCCTATAATAAAATAATTTTCTGTTTCTTTCAGGAGTACAGAAAATTATTTTACTATAGTAATATGAGGCAATTATTTTACTATAGTAAAATAAGACAATTATTTTACTATAGTAAAATAAGGCAATTATTTTACAATAGTAAAATAACGCAATTATTTTAATATAGTAAATTAAGGCAATTATGTTAATATAGTAAAATGAGGCAATTATTTTAATGTAGTAAAATAAGGGAATTATTTTAGTATAGTAAAATGAGGCAATTATGTTTACTCTGGGTAATACAAGAAATTATTTCACTAGTGAAAAGTATTGCCAAATATTTTACTATAGGGAAGTATTGATAAGTATTACTTTAGAAATACTTAATTGTTAGTTATTTTATTATAGAAAATTACTTAAAAATATTTTATTCATTTAATATATGACTATATTGGAAATTAATCTAGTCTAGGAATGATTGGGATATATATTGCTATGAAATACATAGCAAAGTATTTTAATATAGGATTTATTGTAAATTAATTTACTATCGCAAATTCATTATAACCATTTTAAAAGTAGCTCTGTACTGGTTATCGAGTCTTGCATTGGGCGAATTTTAGTATATAAGCTAAAAAAAATCGATCTTTTTTTTTACGGATGTCGTCTGAACCCAGGCATGATCGGGTATAACTAATGTTTTTAAGTTTAGTTCCGGTGTAATTTTTTACGTTTTTTAAGGCAAAGTGTGTAAAAATAAAGGAGGAATTTTCTTTTCCTTCGGGCGGAAGATGACCATGAATGAAAATGAGATAAGTGTAAGCAGAATGTGATTCTTGAGCGCGTTTTCGTGTGTGTACATGTATGTGTATACGTCTCAGTGACGGGGAGCAATTCGTTACTTACCACGCTGAGCACGCTGCTATGTTCCTTACCAGATAGTAACTGTGGTTGCATTTGCTTCCTTTCTTAGCGCACATTTCTGGTGAACCGTAAGTCATCCAGGATTGGACCATAAATTGCCAAGAGGAGTCGCATTGTGTGATCAGGAGGATGGAAAAAACTGTAGCTAACGGAAGGTACACAAGTCGCTACCCGATCAGTATCGGCTGGGTTACCGTGGAGAGGGGGTATGATGTTGGAAAACCCGAAACCCCTAATGAACATCACTGATGACCTGTAATAAATCATCCAATAGGCGTATTTTACGAAAGCGCAATTTATTTCATGTTGTGTTTCAGTGCCCCTTCATATCGATGTTGCTGCATATGATTATTTTGTTTATTTTTTTTTTA